ATGCTACATTTTAGGATTACGTATGCTCCAACAAGGTCCACTTGTGTGGATATCTACTTGCTGAAAACGAATCCCGGCGTAGCCAACCTCAACGTGATAGGCACGTTAGCTTAATCGAATAAAATAATTCGAAGTGGTCTGTATTCTGTCGAAACTGCCAGACGCGGATCGCGATTTCGATCTTTCTAGAAGAAAAAGATCGAAATCGCGATTCGGGATTCGTTTTCAGCAAGTAGATATCCACACAAGTGGACCTTGTTGAAAAATACGTAATCCTAAAATGTAGCATCGTGCTACAGATGGCGTTCACTGTGCCGTTTGTAGTATTTTCTTTATTTTTAGTGTGTAAAAGTTTCATGGTTATTAATTTGGAGTTTTTGAAATTGACACTATATGGTATTCATAAAAAGAAGCCTTACCTTTTGCTTCCAAAACTTGAAGTAATTCCTTCAAGGCATATGCATGAAAAAAGCAAAGGAAAAGGTTTTGCTTCCAGGGTTTGCTTTAAAGTAAAAGGTTTTACATAATTTGTATTTATAAAAAGAAGCATCATCTGCTCAAAAACTAGAGGATTTACTTCTAAAAAAAGGAATCTAGGTTCACAACAACTTTTCTCGCTCTTTTCAATTTTTCAGTAGCTGCCCAGACATCACACAGCTTATAACGTAAAAATTTATATACTTGTAGGACTGTTTTTGTGTTAAAATGTATCTAAAATGGTTTGTATAGTAACCTTTAGTTGTGTGGTCCCAGTGTTGTGCTTGTTATGGCTGATATGGTGCATTTACGTACAACAAAATACTACAAACCAAGACGTACACCACAAGAATCAGATTTCAAAACGTTATTTAGATTTGAGGAGGAGAATGTCATGTGGTTGACGGACAACTTTCTTGGCGCGTATCCCGAAACACGTGGAGCAGCCGTGTCACCTGTATAGAAAATGAAAATATTTCTGGGTTATTGTGCGAACACTTTTAAATTTGCTAACTTTCAACATTGCACAACTAAATCACACTTGTTGATTGCGCAATGCAAATTTCAACTAGTTTGTCGAAATTGGTAGGGGCTAATCTCTACCTTTGACTTTATTAATCCGAAGCATTTCCTTGTAAGGAAATGGTATAGATTATGAATAGGAATTGTAGCTTCTTTTACTTAAAGTAAATGCCTTATTTTTATAAATATGGCCTACTTCTTGTGTTTAGATGGACTTTTTTTCATTAATCACAAAATGAATAAGTGTATTATAATTTGGAATTTTTAGCATTCAAAATGTGGTGCTACAGATGAATGATGAGAATACCGATAGGCTAGATATGAGGAGGTGTTAGAAAGAGTAGGAGAACAGGGGAATTTACAGAAGTTAATAAGAAGTAGGCGAGTTAGGTCCGACATAAAGGGCTAGCTAGAGACATATTGAAAGCAGAAACAGAAGTTAAGGGGGCACATCTAGACCTAGATCAGATTTACAAATACATAAAAGTGTGGGATGTTCTAGTTTTAAGGAAATGCGATGATTAACTCAAGATAGGAAAGAGTGAAGGTGCATTCTAACCAGTTTTAGGACTCAAGACCTTATGACGATGATGATAATGAATTTGTTTAACATTGATTGACCATTTAATTTATAAATGAGTACAGACGGTGTGGTAAATTCTATCCGTTTTTTGTTCTGTTTGATTACATGCCTACCATGTAGGGTAGTCGATATCCTTATGGACCTAAGTGAACGTTTTTGGAATTCTAGGTAAAGATGATCTGTATTCTGTGAAAACTGCCTACTACGCGTTGATGAAATCCAATGAGATTAAAATCGCGATCCGCGTCTGACGGTTTCGACATAATATTAGCCAATATAAACTTCTTGTTCTATAAAATTTATGATGTTTGTATAACATATAATCGGTATTTTTCTAGCATTTCGCAAATTTGTTGCAGATGCCTTAGGACAACAGACAGTATCGATTATGCTCAATGGAGAAGAGTCTGATCTCGTGTTTCAAAACGTCGCAAACCCTAGGGTATGTATTAACTTTTTTATCTCCGTTTCTGTGTACATTTGTCCCTTTGTACATATAACACTAAGGAAACATTTATGTATTAATATTAATATAACATCTAAAGCACAAACAGAGAGAGATTAAAGGAGCCTTGCAGGATATTTTTAGGAAAATATAAGACACCGTTGAAGCTTTAAGGAAAACTACATAATTTATGGTTTTTCGTAAACGACAAATAATGCATTATGTATTTATATTTTATACATGAGAAATATACATGCGCCGTTGCCTGCAAACTAAAAGCACCATCAGTAATAATACAGAGTGGCCACAACCCGTTCTTTGACCATTGAAATTACATGTGCTGAATTAGGACCGATGATGCGTCAGTCTAATAAATACTTTTTGAAATTATAGGATCTACAGTTTTATTGGAACGTAAAGACATATTAAAGAAATTGTCCCCATAATTCATAGGCATTTCAGTAAACTAAATAAAAAGGGATATGTTTATCGTTAAGAATTCCATGCAAAATATGGAGATATTTTAGAAAATAGAAAAGAAAGAGGACAATAAACAGGATGGTAAGCCTATATCACATTATAGGTGTCATCCATGTGAAAATAAAATTCCACCACCGCAAATGATACGCTGCTGTCACTTATTTTGCGACGAGGCAGAAGTAGAAACATGCACATCGCGACGCTTGCATCCTTTTTCTCAGTGGCAAAAGAATACAAAAAGTTGCGATCATTGATACCGTTGTCGTCTACGTGTATGAAATTTTTAATAACTTGGTATTAAATAAGATTATCATAACGGCTTTTATTAGAGATAAAGACCAAGCGTCTAAAAAAATAGTACATAATTATCCTCAAGCCCTACAAATGAGATAATTGGTAACCAAAGCAAAATATGATACTGTGGTCGATTAATTTGGTTCATATCAGAAGGTTGCGTGTTCAGATCACGTCGGGGTAGAAAACTGCGTGAATTTGAACGGGGTTGATTCTTCAATCTTCCTACCATGTGTCGTCTCATGTTGTTCAGATCTATCTGGAGGGCGTGTACCATGTCGGTTAAAGTTTGAATGGTCTCCGAAGTGGAAGTAGTCGTCGGATTAGCTGCGGCTATGGTTTGCGTTTGGTTTGCTTCCATGATGCAATCAGCTAATACCTAGATGTACCAACGTTTCTGGTCCACCGGTACCATATAAACCACGACCAGAGAGAATTTGAAACGTTGGTACAACTAGATATCGCACGTCCCTCCTCCAAACCCTGGGCATCGCCACTACACATGATCCCGCGGACCGAGCGACATGGCCTATAGGTCTAGACCAGGGGTCGGCAACCTTTTGAGTTAGAAGAGTCGAAAATTACAATTTACAAAATTTCAAAGTTTTTAAAGAGCCACAAAATTTCGTCTTGCCAAAAATAAATAGTACTCGCATTTAAATAATTTNTAATAATAATTATTAGTAATGTTATGACTAATTAGCAAATAGTTTGTTTATTCAAATTATTATTTTGATGGGAATGGATCTGTTGAATGGGTCCAGCATGGATCTTTGAAACGGATCCGTCATGGCTTTTAGAAACGGATCCGTCATGGACTTTTTCAAATGGATCCTATGTTGATTATGTATGGCGTGACGATTTTCCATCATACCCGGATCAGAAAGCCTGATTTATTTCTGATCAATCTTCAGGCAATTCTGATCCGCATAGGATCCAATCCACTAACTAATTTCCAGTCGGGCCCTTCTGAGTAAGAACTCATTAAAGTTCTTAAATGATTTACGATAGAAAGTATTAACCAATATCATGTCGTCATTATGGCTTTTGGTTTTCGAACAACCTGATCAGTATGTCTGGAAGCCTACCTTTTTTTAAGCATTTGGCGGTAGAAATATTACACGCACGAAAAATATCATTTCACAGATTCTTTTATTTCAAATTTTTTAGTTACAAGAAATTTTATCAGCACTTTAAGAAGTTCTCGTATTACGTTTCAGCAAGGGTTATACTCTCTCGCACTTAAAAACCGATTAGTTTTCTTTGGTATGAACTCTTTCGCTCCAAGTGGCGTTTTCTTTCCAATTCGTGTGGTCTAAATATTTAAATCAAGTCCGTCACTGAAAAAATAAATCAATTATGTGGTCTCGTAAACAGTGACCTAAAATTAGAGTAAAGCCAACAACGTTTACGTTATTACACTATTTATTCGCTATACAAGACTAAATGTTGTCATTATCTATTCAATTTTACGAGATCGTAGTCAGGTAGGTATTTCGTGTTGCATTTTTCTTCAATCAATTAAATTTGGACAAACCTAAAAAACTTTAGTGTATTATTATATAGTAGTACATCACCGTTGAAGTGTTACGTAATTGTTGGCTTCTACAAGGTAGGTTCCATAAGTAATGGGCCTTTTGCAGAACTGATCGATATTCCTCAAAATATGCATCTTCTGCGTCGATACACTTGTAGGAAACTTTGTAAGAACTGCCGTGATATTAGCTTAACGCCCTCGATGGAGTGGTAGTGACTGCCCTTTTTTCAGACTTTCCAGGTAGTAGACAGCATTCACGAAACTCGTAGTGAATTATTTCCTTCGTTCCAAAAAAGACGATGGGCTTTGTCTTTGTGTTGGATTTGCCCATGCGAGCTGTTTCGCGACGAGGTGACTGAATGGTATGCCACTTGGACAAACACGAATCTTTAACAACTGTTTAAGCAAGTTGATAACGTTTCCGTAGGAGGTTCGTCCAACTAGAAGCAGAATTTTTTCGCATAACGTTGTCCTGTCGAATTCTCCACATCGCCGTGTCATGACTTTACGTCAAAAGGCTTACAAAAACCATCATCTTTCCGCTTTAAGGACTCGGAGCCAACTGAATTCGTTCGCATTTAAATCCTAGACCCTCACCACCACCACTTCTCCTGGCTGGTAATGTAAACTCGCCCCAGAAAAAATAAGTCTCTTTACATATGGAACGGACCCTGTATTTTATAAAACATAGGCTACATTAATCTTATCTCCTTCAATGTTCTCTCCATTTGTGCCAATAAATTTGTCTCATCTTCATTTCCATTTTTCAAAACATCCATGGAGTCCTCAGAAGTCAGACTTTTCAGATGTCACATTTTTCATTTAGGGAACAAAAGGAAAACTAAAGGGATGGGTAGGGTGGTTGCTCCTAAGTGGTGATCTAATTACGGGCAGTGGCTGATAAATGTGCAGGCGGGTTGTCTTGTTGCGGCATCATCCATTACTACCCCACTACGCAAGACTTCAGCGTAGAAGGCAGTATTATTATATGTCCTTCGTCAGCAAGATTTTCGACTATCGGAAAGTGCAAGAAACTGTACACCTTCAATGTTTTCATCAACACAGTAAATCGATGGTCGTCATCTTTGCAACCTTTCAAAACCTTGCCAACATTAACTTTCGATTGTACAGAGACATGATAATTCCGTTCGTTTGATGATTGTATCTCCTAAAGGCATTGACTGACAAATTATTTTTAGATCTCGCTGTAAACAGTTTTCCTGCCCAATTACTTACAATGAAGGACTTAAGGTTTTAAAAAACCTCAACCAAAATACTTCATCCATTTGAAAACGAGTCAGTTTATGTAGTGCATTACCTCCATTGATATAACCCTTAGCAGTCGCGGATTTTCCATAAGGCAAAGTAGGCATATGCCTAGGAGCGCAAAGTTAAAAAGGGGCGCGGGTGGAAGTTTTTAAACCTAAANTGATGCGAATTGAACAACCCTTAGCTGAAAGCGGGGTAAGAAGGTAACAGCAGTTAGTTCTACGTGGATCCCCCATTAGTTGAGTGCAGTGGCGCGCTTTTAAAACGCGTAAATATTATAATATCGTATCATTATGACGATCGCGGACGGCATTGATAAGGATAACAGTTGAAAGTAAGCAGTGGCGGCGTTGAGCGTAGTTAGTGATGGGAATCGATTGCGGTGGCTGATGATGCGGATCGAGGTTGGCACCGGCTTAGGCCCCTGGAGCTAATTTGTATTTTCGTTTGACATTTTTATTTTTATTTTCGAAAGGAGTATAATTCACATATAGGTCTATAGAACGAAGATGGAATAAAATCAGTGCAAAATTCCGGTTCTAATTTTAACCACCCTGCTGTTCAAAACCTGCGTGCATTTTCCTTTAGATATCAAATAAGGGGTCAAGCATCAAATTACGTAGCAGCGGAGGCTTGTAAACGGTCAAACCGAAATGGTCGATTAAAAAAAACCCGTTCCATTTCATCTTGATGTAAAGTACTCCAACCCCAGTCGAAGTAATTCGCAACACCAGCAAATTACAAAGATGGCAGTTGGTGGTCCATTCCCCAACCTGTTCGAAAATAAAAGATACCTGTGAGAAATAAGTACATATGCATACGTAGGTAGCATGAATGTTTAATAATAATCCTCTTGTGTGCTTATGTTCAATGAAAAAAAAAAATAACTGAAGAATAATTATATTTTTTAAATACTGAACGATTTCGTGAGAATAAAAATGACCTACAGTATACGGGTTTCTATTCCAGGATAACTGGCGGTAAAGAAAATCTGATTCCTCAGGGTGTTACACATAAAATTTCTAAAGGAGTCAAGGAATTTCACAATAATTAAATAATTATTTTTCAATATATCATCGCAGAAAGTAAAATGTTTGTGGGTGTGTAAAGAAAAAGGGTTGAACTGATGAATTTAGTATTAGTTTCTATGATAGTTTGGTGAAAACGTTATTTTCTGGACTGTATTGTTATGATGGATGCTAGTTTACTATGTTAAAAGTATGGACGGTACAACTGCTTTAATTCTGTATATTTAACACACTGTATTATCTCTAAATCTGGATATTTATATCGATAAATCAATAGTTGCCTTTTTTCCAATTTTTTATAACCCATAAATAAAAAACAGCAANACAATAAGGAAGTACCTAATAAAAAAAAGTATTTTGTAAAATATATGACCGCCAGAGGGGCGTCT